AATTATGAAATGCTGTTCAATTTATATTACATGATCATGTTTATTCACGGCCGAGTCTACATGGCTTATGAGGCACGAAAATGCAAATTTTGGTGCCTCGTTTAAAGAGGTTCAGGAGTAGCAGGCAACATACCTTTTTACTTCATCTCTTAAAGCAGTAATGCTGTCGGGCGAAGTGGAGAAGTCGACGGTGAACTCCACGGAATCACTCATGTTTGGGCTCCTGTAGAAATTGCTGATGGGTTTGGTGGACAGAACTGAATTTGGGTAGAATATCATTTCACCATCGTTTCTCACGAAGACTGTTGTCAGGATATTCATCTCTTCAACCGCCATCTACGAGGAATTGAAGTGTTAGGCAAAGTATGGTATCAGCTCAGACAAATCATGGGGAGTCTTAGGATTAGTAATTCACCTGCACTCCGTCGATGACACAACGGTCACCAACATCAAAGGGATGCATCACAAAAACAAAAATGATGGCTTCGAACACTGTTTTGACGGAATTACCAAACATAAACGCCACAAGCAAAAGCTGGGATGAAATGAAGACAAGTACTTGTGTCGTCAAAACTCCCATCATAAGTAACGACACGATAATGATCACGACCAGCAGAACTGCTGAAGCAAGCCTGTTCAGCTCCTCGATGGCTGTTTTTGTATCGTTCAAGCTGTAGGCGAGGGACTTCCTTTCAAGGTAAACGCTCACCTGAAGACAAACTCTGTATTAGGTTCTTAGGAATGTACTCATCTGATTGTTGTACTCGGACTGAGCCAAAAGTTTTGTGATTCTTTTATTTCCAAAAGGCAGGAGACCTAATCCAATTCTGAAGCATAGAATTGTGGTTGAGCATTCACCGGGCCGATGGCCCACTAATTATCACAGGTTTTCTATATGTATAGACAACGCCGCAAGATTGAGATTTAGTACACTCATTGACTGTTCTGGGATCATCAGAACTTGGATGAGAACAGAAAGTTATGGATCTTCGAAAACATTGTAAGAGGTAGCAAAAAGCTTCCTAATACAACATATTATTAATTTAGTAAGACTTACCAGCCAGTCCTTTAAAGATGACCTATTGATCCGTCTAGTTTTTGCCGCTCCTGGCACCAAAGGAATGAATTTGTCAACATCTTTCTTCTTCATGAAGCGCAAGAGGTCCTTCTCTTCGATGTACCTAGTAAAGGCATAAAGCAGGTATTGGTGAGATATTTCTAAGCAAAATTTTAGCTGGAATGCAAGGGAAGTGTGTGACAGCATGGTTCTTCTTACTCATGTCCAGACTTCTTAGTGACATGCTTGAATATTTCGTCAGCAGCTGCCATTGCTTCTGATTGATTAGTGATCTCCTTATTTTGTTGCTCTGTGTCCTCATCACAGTATTGATTAAGGCTTCTAACAAGAGTTGAAATCCCTAGGGATGAGTCGCTAATGACGTTAACCAACCCTTTCATCGTCCAAGCAGAAATTTGATCCCGGTCTATCTTACTCAGCTTATCTACATCAATCACCTCTTCTAGCTTCTTTGCCACTCCTTTGATGTACTTCTTGAAACTGAGCCGCCCATAGAGCTTGTCATCCTGTTCCATCAAAGGCGAGCCTGAAAGGGTCTTGACTACGTAGTGGTGAAAGAGAGACTCTTGGATGCGATCGAAGAACCTCTTGCATTGAAAAGAAGCCGATAGTAATTTTATTGAGAGTGTTTTGACAAGCCATATAGCAGCTCCTATGACACAAGAAGCAAGAGCCCTTGTCACATAATGTAGAGTCTCCCTCTCCTGCTCCGATCGCTTCACCCCATGGTTCATCAGCAAAACCCAGACTAAAAGAATGAAAACCAACCAGGTAAACCTTTGGACGCTGTCCTTCAATCCAAAGACGAAGTACAAGACCTTATGTTTGAGCAAATAATCCTTCTCAATCAATAAAACCAATGTGTTAATCAACCAGTCAATCACCAACCTACCACAAAAGATCGCCAACACCTGCACACACCATTTCCACAGCTCCAAGTGCCAAATTTCTGTATCTTTCAGTTTGCGAACGGTTAAACTTGCGATCAGAAGTCCCATGATGCACACAAATGCTGCGAACTCGATCCAGATAATATACTTGGCGAATTTCTTGCCGGCCATCTCTTGGACCTTCAAATTTGCAGCCTTGTACACATGCTCATCATCTTCCACCTCTGCAGCCTTCGAAGGAGGCGTTTGAGCAGCATTCAGCACGGGTTTCATACCGTCTTTAGTGGCGTTAGCACTTGTATCGTTGTAAGGCGAACTCTCTGAAATCTTCAGTTGGGTATTGTCCTTAACTGAAGTAGCATCACCATGACACGATGGTTCTTCAAATCTTGATTTCCTCTTAGATATCCATGGACTCGAAAAGAACTTGTTTGTAGCCAAACGATCAGTGGGATTCACGCGAGGCTTACTTAGAGTTGGGCCGGATCGAGTGATTCCTTGAGGAGAACTCTGTGCTCTTGATTGGAGATTCTTAATCTCTGTCGGTTCAAGATTGGATCTCGGTGAAGAACCTCTGCTTTGGTACTCACTGCCCGGAATCATAACAACTACCTCCTTTGTTCCTTTCTTCTCTAACAAACTTTTCCTATTTTCCATGATTGAATGTTTCACTCCTAATAACCACTCAAAATCTAAGCTAAGCTCAAGTCTTGTCCTCTAAATATTTTGGACTTCTAACATGAAGATGAAAGCTTTAGCTGAACCGAATCAGTTTCTAAATTTTTCGAAGAGCTGAAAACCAAAAAGAAAAGGGTACCCACAGGAGAACGCAGAAATCTAAGAGATTAGGAAGAAAGTGCAGAGCAAGATCATGAAGAAATGAGAGAGATCTGCAGGATTTAAGCTGACACAGAAGAGAAGGTTTCATTGCCGCACCAGTCAAGGTCCGCGGGAAGTGTCGTTTTGAATGGCTCGTTCCTTGTCAACGTCACACGATTTAAAAGCTCGATCAAAGTAAAAAAACGAAAAACGAGGAGTCAAAGTGCGTGCAATGCGAGATTTGGAGAAACAAAATTATCAAAGATCACCCCAAACAAACTCCTGAATTCCACATGTGCCACGAATCAGCGGAATCCATGTCGGACTGACGGACAAGGCGCGGGCAGTTCGCGCACTTCGTGCATACTGATGAAGCAAACAGTATATTCGAAATCTGAAAGATCCAAACTTAGATCAACCACACCTCCTAATCCCCATCTTTCATCAAGGGTGTGTACTGATGTAAATTCCGTGCGATAACCGGAAAAAAATATAAACAGAGATAATAACTCCGAGAAAGCAATAATAAATTTAATAACGACCAAGCCAATATTTATATAATCTTGACAAGTAAAGAAGGCTGAATTACAAACCAAATATAGACCGATAGATGCAATAAAATTGGAAAAGAATTAAACAGGAGGTGAGGAACGGATTATCGAATCTCCCTGCCAATAGTGCCTTACAAATTTGCGAACAATGCCTCCCATGACACAATACTTCAAACCTATACACTGAAAAGACATCTCTATTGAGGCTGCTGCATGTGAATTGAAGATATGACAATTAAATCTTCTGTACGTAAATTGAAAAGGCATCTCACTAATGTTGAGTCATTAATAACCTATAACTACAATATGTCCTGTGTACATGAAAAAAATAGAGGCAATGATCATTTTTATTTTTTGTCAACGCAATCAACGTGTTCATCAGTACGAGCATTGGATTAAATTGACACCGATCCAAGAGGAACTATAAACTTAATTACATTTATTGACGACGGATTGTAAAGTACACTAAATTGAATAGTGGGCAGGAAAGAAGCAAACGATGGCGAATCCTGCAAGCACATGCCAATTACCTAAAAAAACCATTAATTTTAGGTTTAATGCTAATTGTGCCATGAACTTTTTTTAATCTAAAAAAATATGTAACTTCACTCTAATCCCAAATCTAATAATAATTTTAAATAATCAATTCCCCTTATTAAAAAAATGGTCTCAATAAGATAACAAGAAAGTGTTATAGAGATTGTGGCTTATTCACTTTAATTGTCATTCTTCCTTACGGGAAGAATTTATTTACTGGTAAATAAGAAAAAAGAAAAAGTCCATTTGTATCACACCTGCCTATTTTGGGAAGTGGATGTTAGAAGTCATCCTCAAAAAGGGTTTATTACAAAAATCGTGTGTCATCGTACTCTTCTTCCTAAACCAATTGAAAACCTACTATTAGAGAAGTATCAGTAATTATAAAGTTCGTGGTTAATGAAAAAAAACATTAATATTATAGTAAAACGTAGTAATCCCAAGTATCGAGCTGACATCTGTTTAGTTATATATCATATCGAAAAGTACAATGTCACAAGTATACTTTGAACATCTAGAAATTAGGCCAGATATACTACGAAAATGAATAGTAAATGGGTGTCGACATTTTTCGTTTTGACACGAAAAACACACGTGATTCACACCTTTCTCATATGCTTGATTAATTTAATGAATGCTCTCAGCCTGCTAGAGTCTAGACAGACGACACACTATTTGCAGATGAACGTGAGAAATCTGAATCCATTGCGAAGCAAATGTGCATCTAACGCACCAAAGAAAAGCATCATTGGCCTGTCAAATGAGTAACAGAGGTATCTTGTTATGTCAGGAAATTAGCAGGTCAATCAATCCTTATTCGGCTACCAAATCATGTTTCCCACAATTACATTGCACTCGATTACTTTGAAAGTTTAAGCTGTTAAAAAAATGATATGATGAATAGATAACTTTGATGACTGTTCCTTGACATTGCGATTCCAATGGCATTGGGAACAACCCTCTCTCAATCAAACGGATAAAATTGACAAACAGACAACACCGGAACTCCAAATCAACATTCTATCAAAAGAGACAGTCGGTTCATAGATGTAATGCACTGTGACTTGATGATCAAGAAAAGCAAAACAGTCACGTCCTCACATACTTGCGGGTCACAGGCAACTTTTCTCATGGAGGATTCAAAACTGCGCGTTAAGCAGCTGCTGAACCGGCATAGCTGACTTGAACTTCCTGAGGAAGCAGACGGTATTTGATACCGACTTCTTCAAAGATTCTCTTCAGCTCCAACACGAGTTCTGATCTCCGGCTGTTCCGGTCCCGTGGGTTTTGAAAATTTATCGTATGGGTGACGTAGAGACCCATCTTCAACTTGTTGACATCCTCAATCTCCTTGACCACGATGCTGTGTGCCTCCATCCAGTATTCAGGCTTGCTTTCCAAGTACCTGTTAGTTTTCCAACCAAGGATGGGAATTCCATCAGGAATTGTGTATGTTTGTTCTAAAGAAGTATTTAGCAATGTTAACAATGATGTATGAACCGAAGAAAGCTCAACCACCAACCGATGATGTTTCGTTTTTTTTCCTGTTAGTAGGGGCAATATAAAGAGGTTTAGGAAGTAGTAGATAGACATACGTTTTCACTTTCTCCTTTAATTCTGCAATACTATTAACTGAAGTGGAGAAATCGACTGTGAACTCCACAGAATCGCCCATTTTGTCGCTCCTGTTGAAATTGCTAATGGGTTTGGTGGCCAGAACTGAATTCGGGTAGTATATCTTTTCACCGTCATATCTCACGAAGGTCGTGGTCAAAATCTCCATCTTCTTAACAACCAACTGTGAGGAATTCAGACGTCAGGCAAATAAGGAATCGGTAACAAAGCAGTCTCACGCGGAGTCTCAGGACTAAGTAACACACCTGCACTCCATCGATGACACAACGGTCTTCCACATCGAATGGATGTGTGACAAATATGAAAATGATGGCTTCAAACACGGTTCTGGCAGTGTTGCCGAACATAAACACCACAAGCAAAAGCTGAGATGAGATAAAAATAAGTGTTTCCGTTGTCAAAAGTCCCATGATAAGTAACGACACGATGGTAATCACGACAAGCACAATTACTGAAACAAGCCTGTCCAGATCATCGATAACTGTGTCCGCATCTTTTAAGGTGCGGGCAAGTAATCTCCTTTCACGGTAAACAGTCTCCTGCAGAAAATAGACTATTTAGTCAAAATCTTGTGAATGTATTAATCTGAAAGTAGGTCTGCCTCAAAAACTTTGAACTTTCAAAAGTCCCTCTGTTTCAGTTTGTTACATAACTCCAGAAAACGTCTTACTCCAAAGCATAGAATCTTGGATGTCGATCAGCATATACCGAAAGACACCAAGTAACTGATGGTGCAATACTAATTCACAAGTTCTCGAACTGGGTCAACAATACGGCGAGCTTAAGCATTTCTTTACACAAGTTGGTTGCTATTTACACATTATTGACGGTATTGTGATTGTAACTTGGACAAGATTCTGATACTCTGTACATATCCTGAATTACGATTGATGAACTTACCAGCCATTTCTCTAAAGTTGGCTTATCGATCATTCCATCGCCCTTTGGTCCTTGAATCAAAGGAATGAATTTGGCAACATCTTCTTTCTTCTTCATGTCAATGTACCTAGTAAAACAATAAAGCGGGCATCAGGGACAAATTAGTACAGCGAATGTACCTAGTAAAACCATAGAGCAGGTATCAGGGACAAATTAGTACAGCAAAAGTACTAGAATGGGGAGAGAGTTCTAGACAGTATTGGCCTTCTCACCCCTTTCCCTGCGTCCCTACATTTTTAAATATCTCATTAGCAGTCTCCGCGGCTTTCCGGATGATCTCCTGGTCTGGATGATCAAGGCTGCTGTCAAAGATAGATACCCATGGGCCAGTAATACCGTTGATCAACCTCCTCATATTCCAAGGTGAAATTCGACGTTGTTTCATGTTGGTCAGCATCTCTGCATCAATTACCTCCTCTAGCTTTTCTGACACTCCATGAACGCACTTCATGAAACTGAGCTGCCATTTGAACTTGCCATCCTGTTCCATTGAATTGTTTCGCAAAAGCACCTCGATCACGTGTTGGTGATCGGCGGTCATGTGGATAGGCTCAAAGAATGCCTTGATGTGAAAGGAAGCAGCAAGCAACTTTATCAGCAGTGTTTTGATAAGCCATATAGCAGCTCCTACGAGACAAGAAGCAAGAGCCCTTGTCACATCACTTAGAATCTCCCTTGCGTGCCTTGATCTTTTTGCTCCGTGGTATATCAGCAAACCCCAGACCGAAAGAACGAAAACTAACCAGATAAACACTTGCACGCTGTGCTTCAATCCATAGACAAGGTAAAAGACCTTCTCTTTGAGCCAGATTTTCCTCTCAATCAAGAAGCCCAACGGGGTCAGCAACAACTTACTCACTAACCGACCTGAAATGATTGCCAACGCCAGCACACACCATTTCCACAGCTCCAACTCCCAAATATCCGTCCTTCGCAGCTTATGAACGGTTAAGCTCACGATCAGAAGTCCAGTGACACACATGAATGCGACCCACTCGGCCCACATAACCATGTTGATGAAATTTTCCCAGCAACATACATGTTCATCACCTTCAGCGGCCGTAGCCTTTGACAGAGGTTGCTGTGAGGTGTCCTGCATGGTTACTGTAAAATCGTCTTTAGCAGCACCAGCAATTGTGCCATTGCGAGGCAAACCCACTTTAGGGGAACACCTGCAGGGAGACTGCGAATTCTTCAGTCGGGTCTTGTCATCCTTGACCGAAGCAGCGTCGCTAGGCTGCACCAGTTCTTCAAATCCCGATTTGTGGGACTTCTCTTCAGCAGGCTTAGCTGGAGCTGTGCTCGATGGAGGGGTTCCTTCATCAGAAGGGCCTGTTGCATAGGAACTTTGCACTACGGATGGGACATTGTTGAGTTCTGCCGGCCCAAGATTTGACGCCGGCAAAGAATCCTTGCTTTGAGATTCGCTAGCTGCGAGCACGAGAACCACACCCTGTGTCTCCATGAATGTTTCACTCTCGACAAACTCTCAACAATAGTTCGCGAGAAACGACACGCCGACCCGAAAAGAGAGCGCGGAGTCACCTGAAAACTCAAATGGATCAAGATCACAAGAAGAAAGATTGAAAGAAATGAGCGACCCGGAAAAAAAGAAGCAGCAGAGAAGAAAGGGAGAGCGAGTTGGAGCGAAACGGCGATGGCGAAACGAGCCGAGATTCGCGGGGATGTGAATGGGGAGGAGGAGGAGGAGGAGGAGAGGGCTTTAGCTTCAAGCGAAGGTCCGCGGGAAATTCTATTCAAATGACTGTTAATAGTCGAGGTCTGCGGGAAACTCTATTCAATTTCAAATGACCTTTACAAGACAAACGCTCGGTCGTTAGGTCCATTTAATATTTGGATTGATCGACAGGTTGAATGTTTAAAAAAAAAGACCTGAAGATTTGTGATCTAATCATCAGATCATTGTTTAATTGATTCGGAAACTCTAAATTTAGACGATAAATTTCGTACTTCAATTTATCCCCGGAGAAAATGACACGTTACTATGTTTTCGACTGAGAGAGTGTTCTCCATTTTTTTTTTTTTCGCTTTTTCTACTCCTCTTTCGTTCCGCCTATTCGTCAACGTTCCTCCCACACACAGACAAACGCACAGGCATAATATATTTCAGATTACTACCACTAAGAAACCCAAACTCGTACCCTTGAACTATGATTATCACGAATTAATTTTTGTATTATAAAAAATCATAAATCGGTACACTCCTAACAAATCTACCCTTCATTAGATTCTGTCTATATCTCGTTAAGTTGTTGATGTGGACACACGCCTGATGGAAATTCAACATAAATTGATCTCTTACATAAATTGATCTCATGAACAACGTGGTTTTGGAAGCCAAGTTTGAAAAAGAAAAATGAATTTCATCTCCACACCAGTCAAGGTCCGCGGGAAATGTTATTTTAAATGGCTCGTTAATAGTCAACTTCACATGATTTTAAAAGTTCCAACAAGTTATGCGGAAATGAAAAGTTACAGTCTAAATTCATTTTAATAAATTTGTTTGTTGCTCTACTCTGGAAAAGCTATATAAAATTACTTTTTTAAATTTCCCGCCAAAGCATATATTGTTACAAAAACTTTAGAAACTCATGAAAATAATTTTATACAATCTACTTGTCAATATTTGTATATTCGAAAATTTCGAGCGTTTAACATTATAAAAAAGAAAAATTGAAGTGCGTGCACTACAAAATATAGAAAAAAAAATCACCAATAAAAATCACCCCAAATAAGTCAACACAGTCAACATGTTTATTGGTGCATGCATTTGACTTAAATAATATTTCTTGACACAGATCCAAGAGGGAATTTAAAAGTCAATTACATTTATGGACGACAGACCATATAGCACATTAAAATTGAATAGCATGGTGAGCAGGAGAGAAGGAAACGATGGGGAGCACCGCAAACACATGCAAATTAGGTTAATTACATTTGTGGCTGCTTGCTTTTGGTGCATACATTGAAAACTATATTGTTGAGGCGCAAGTGTGAAGGTCCTTAGGCAAATTGAACGATTGGAAATCTTGATATGGTATAGAGAAATTAATATATTTAATTAGCTCACAACGTATGTCAACCAGGAAGGCTTACGGGACATGGGAAGTACAACCCCATACGACACTCAGAATCGTGCATCAGTACACATCAGGAAAAAAGAGAAAATAAAAAAATCCAAAAAAAAGTTTTAAGTCAAGGTCCACAGATATAAACGTTGGACGCATGAGTCTTAAAACTTGCACCCATCTGCCCCTTGAGCCCCAAAGCTTTCGACACTTGTTTGAAAATAAGGAAAATCTAATTAGAAGCCCTACGTATGGAAAATTCGGTACACCTAACGAAAGGACTAAGATAGAGAATGACCATAAGTTATAGGACTTAAATGTACAAATTGAAAGCTTTGGGGCTCAAGGGGCAGATGGGTGCAAGTTTTAAGACTCCTGCTTATAATTGTCCTTAGCTTACTATCCCACTAAACTGTGTACCAAGAATATATTAAACGATGCACAAAATGGTGAGGAAGCATCACCTTGCATTTTCTTTTCTCTCTCTCTTTTTTTTTTTGATCATCGTCAACCATTAGCTTCATCATTTTTCTAGGCACGGATCTGGAGGATGTCGAGGTGGTAAAAAAAAATTAGATTAGCCGGAGGTGCGAGGTCTAACTCAGAGACAATCGGTTCCAAATGAGTCAGTATTAGATGCGTCTGCATGCGAGCCCAACCCACTCGGAACTCATACGGATCATCGGACGAGATCGATCCCACGAGAAAAATGCTACAGATGCCGGAAGGGCAATCGGAAAATGCTCCGATCGGGACACCGACGGCGCGATCGCAAAAAATCGGCGAAGACTCCATCCGCATAGTCATTTGATTAATCAAGTAAAGTACAGTAAACAGTGCATGATTAAGGAAGTCTCAATGGTTATGTCATTCCTAGATCCAGTGAAACCGGCGTCGGTGCAGTCGATTATTTAATGAAAAGTCAAAAGGGTTCATACTTGATTTAAGTCGTAGACTGTGAGCTATGTTTACTCAATTTTCGATTCCTCGAATGATAATAATAATAATAATAATATAGAAAACATAAGTTGAACAAATATGATTTACTTATATCAATGCCGCGCATTAGATGTGCTTAATTACCTGATTAATTTTTTTTAAGACCCGAAGATCCAAATATTCGTGCTGGCAAATGGCATAACTTTTTACATTAGATACAAAGGATTTACTTGTTACTAATTTAGTTTCACCTTTGCTATTCTTTCACTTCGATGGTATCATAAATCAGGTCGATGCAGATGGAACGGATGCATTTCGGCAAAAGAACACTACAAGTGCCATAACTTGTGCACGGCGTCACTTTAGTGCCATAACTTTTTTTGGATTACTTTAGTGCTAAAATTTTTGAAAACGATTACTTAAGTTCTAAAATTTTTGAAAACGATCACTTAAGTGTCAACTCCGGTGCCGTACACAATTTTTCGCGGAAATCGACGTGCCATTTTTTTTTATTAATTTCTGAAGTTGACGTGGCTCGCCGGAGTCTCGCCGGAGATTGGCACTTAAGTGATCGTTTTCAAAAATTTTAGCACTTAAATGTTCGTTTTCAAAAATTTTAGCACTTAAGTTATCGTTTTCAAAAATTTTAGCACTAAAGTGATCCAAAAAAGTTATAACACTTAAGTGATCGTTTTTCCTCCGACTTAGCACCAAAGTGATCCGAAAAAAAGTTATGGCACCAAAGTGAGCGCCGTACACAAGTTATGACACTTATAGTGTCCTTTTGCCGATGCATTTCTATACAATTAAGTAAGTGAAATAGCTAAAACGAAATCCGTCTAAGTCACATTACATATTCTACTGGATCTCATATAACATGATTAGTATATATCCGTGAAAACGTTTGATGAACTTTGTTATAAGTAGATATAGACGTCACTGTTATTTGAAATTTTGTTCTAGTTATAGAGGTACATTGTAATTCTTACGCACAGTGACATATGATCAAGCAAAGAACATAGTCACACGCTTGCAGATTACATATTGCAGAAAATAAAAGGCGGAAATGAAGTCCCATTCTCACAAACTTGCAGATTACTTAGGAGCGCGATACTCCTGGAGTTGTCAAAACCGTGCACAGCAACGGCCACCAACCCGGCCCGACTGAGATGAACTTACTGAGGAAGCACGCGGCACTCGAGACGGAGCTGTTCGAGGATTTTCTTCAGCTCCAGCACTAGGTCGGATCTCCGGCCGGTCCTTTCCTTGGCATGTTGGAAATTCATCGCGTGGGTGACGTGGAGAGCCATCTTCAAGTGGTCAGCGTCCACAATCTCCTTAACCACAATGCTGGGATCGGGATGCCAATGTTTTGGCTTGCTATCCAAGTACCTGAAAGCTTATTCAATCAGAATTGCACCTTGCAAAATACTTGGCAGTGCTAAAATGAAAGCGCACACACAGACACCATGATTTCTTGTGCTCCAAGCGACAGCTTCGGCAGCCAAGGAAAGAGGATGTTTGTGATGGGTTTGAGTTCATATGATGCATAAGTCAATAAGTTGATCATTATAACCATAATTGAGAAACTTCACTTTCCGCAGAATTCTGTATCCACACTTACATTTCTTCCGAATTCTTGCCTATTTGGACACCACAGGTTTCAACTTGACGTACACAAGCAATCATGTGTGCGAGGTGCAACGTTTAATGCCTAAAAAGAGAGATTCAGGAGTAGCAGATCGCATACGTTTTTATTTTATCTTTCAAAGCTTCAAGGCTCTCGACTGAAATGGAGAAATCGACCATGAACTCCACAGATTCGCCCATGTTCTGGCTCCTGTTGAAATTGCTGAGGGGTTTAGAGGCCAGAACTGAATTTGGGTAAGATATCTTTTCACCGTTGTTTTTCAGGAAGACAGTAGTCAGGATATTCATCTCGTCAACCTCCATCTGTGATGAGTCAAAAAGTCAGACGAATATGGAATCGGTACAAACCAGTCATCGTAGTCATAGGGCTAGTCATTCACCTCATCTCCATCAACGACGCAGTGGTCACTCACATCGAATGGATGCATCACGAATACAAACACGATAGCCCTGAACAATTCTTTGGCCGAGTCTCCAAAAATGAACACGAAAAGCAAAAGCTGTGACGAAATAAAGATGAGCATTTGAGTCGTCAATAATCCTGTCAGAAGCAACCACAGAATGATGACCACGACGAGTAAAGCTGCTGAAGCGAGGTTGTTCAGCTCCTCGATGGCTGTTTTCGCATCCTTCAAGGCACGAGTGAGTGATTTTCGTTCACGATAGACATCCACCTGCAGACATAAATCATATAATTCAGTTCATGTTATTCCGTCTATGTGTATCTCTCGGTCTGCATGCATGATTACTAGTTCTTTCAGCTGCAAAAGTCTCCTCAATTTCAGTTTGTTAGAAACAAGCTCCATAGAACATTTGGTTTGGAAGCGAGATAAGAACCGCTCTACACAAGTTAAAACTTAAGTGATCCAATACGCACTTACCAGCCACTTCTTGAGAAACGACTTCTGGATCTTCCGTCCGGGAAACAAAGAGATGAATTTCTCAACGTGTTCCTTCTTCATGAAGCACAAGAGGTCGTCCTCCTCGATAAACCTAGTAAAAGCAGAAAACAAGAATCAGTGACTAACTCATGGAGCAATAAACTTTTTTTTTCTTATAACCCACGAATACGGGCATGGACACCCGGCTAATGAAGAAACAGCCTGCAATTGCAAGCCCCATGAACTGGTTAAGTTCAGGCCTTTGGTTTGTGCAAGTTGCCCTGACAGGTGACCTACAATTCCTAAGCTGGAAACCCTCCACAGCCCCAACCTACTGCGCCAACCCCGGAGGATCAAACCAACAACACATTTCCAGATTAGGAGAGAGTTTTAAGGTAGTCGCTGCTCTCACTTGCTCTCTAACTTGGCTACATTCTTGAATATCGCAGAAGCAGCAGTCTTGGCTTCCTGCTCATCGGTGATGTCCTTCTCTTGTTGCTCTGCCTCATTATCCTCAATGTTATCGAGGGAACCGGTAAGAGTCGACAGCTCCGAGCCGCTAACAATGTTAATCAACCCCCTCATCGTCCAAGCAGAAATTTTATCCGGCTTTATCTTACTTAGCTTCTCTATGTTCACCTCTTCAAACTTCCTTGCAGCTCCTTTAATATACTTCTTGAGACTTAGCCTCATGCTAAACCTCGAGCTACCCAATTTGTCGGCACTTTCCGCTGGACGCGGGCCGGAAAGGGTCCTTATAACGTGGTGATGAAAGATGTACTCGTGAATGCGATCAAAGAATCTCTTGCATTGAAAAGAAGCAGCAAGCAATTTTATCAGAAATGTTTTGATCAGCCATAAGGCAGCTCCTACAAGACAAGAAAAGAGCGCCCTCGTGACCCAGTTCAGAATCTTGGTCGTGTGTCTCGATCGCTTCACTCCATGGTTTATCAGCCAAACCCAGGCTAAAAGGACCAGACTCAACCAGGCAAACACTTCGGCACCATCCTTCAATGCATAGAGAAAGTACAAAACATTCCTTTTAAGCAGATAGTCTTTCTCAATCAAGAACACCAATATGCTGATCAGCCAGTCTGTCACCAAACTACCGCAAAAGATTGCCAACATCAGCAAACACCATCTCCACAATTGCACTTCCCAAATAATTGTATTTTGCAGTCTATGAATGGTTAAACTAGCTATTAGAAGCCCTATGATGCACACAAACGCGACCCACTGAGCCAAAACAACCTTCTTTTTACCCGACATCATTTGGGACTCCTGATTCGCAGTCTTGCACACCTCCTCATCATCTTCCTCCTCTGCATCTGGTGGTGTGTCTGCTGAACCACTTGGAGGCATTCTCAGCTCCGGTTTCCCATGGTCCTTAGTTGCACTAGCACTTGCGTCACTAGGATATGGCGGTTCCATGAATCTTGATTTCAGCTTCGCAAATGAAGACAGCGAGATGGACTTTTTGGTTGGGATATTTGGAAGCTTACTCGGAGTCGGGATTGACTGAGTGAGCTCTTGAGCAGAGGGGCTTGTCACATTGGAAATTTGTGAACTTGATGGGTAATTTTCAAGCTCTATTGGCTGAGTGTTTGGTTTTGGTGGAGAACCTCTGCTTTGACATTCAGGGCCTGAAATCATAAGGATAACGTCATTTGCTTCTTTCTTCTCTAACAAACTTTCATTGACCTCCATAAGTGAATGCCTTTCAGCTCAGAGCTTCTCTAGGAAACAGATGTACTTTACCACGAAAGTGAATGTTTTAGCTCAATTTTATGCAAAATCAGCGGAAGAAGTCGAAAGGCAAAGGATCAAGAGCAAAAGAGTGAATCAGGAAGAGCTAAACATGGTGAAATGAGTGGGATTTTGCAGGAAGTGGACTAACAATGGGAGGGGGTTTTTTCATTCAGTATAGCTTCGCAGGAGGCTCCATTTAAAGGGCTCTTAGAGAAGAGAGCATGAATTTGCTTTGAGAAAACTACTTTATGGTGAAAAGGTAATTCATCTAAGAATGTTTCAGTTAAAAAACAAAGTTAAACAAGAACTGTCAGTTCAAGAAAACTTTGCAAAGCTGCTTCCAACTCTGAGCGATAGTAGATGAGGTTGGACTTTGAAATTACAAGATAACGGAATTTATACCAAATATTAAAAAATTTGATCAGAGGACTTGGAAGTTCAAAACCCACTTTCCAAAGTTCAGGAATCGCATGAAATTACATCAAACATCTACAACTGTTGTACCGTTCAATATTACTTCGCTTGTCTACATTACTAAGTGCAAGAATGTCATAAAAAGTCTTTGATAATGCGATTTAATTTTGGTTTTACAATATTACAACGTCTCGTCATAATCTAATGTTAAACGAAAAATTTAACGATACAACCGTTGTACCATAGAAATCCTTGGAGCGTGTTGGCCCATGCAAGACCTCCTTGTTCCATGTGTTATTCCAAACCTTATGGCCTCGCTAAAAGCTGGATTCCCACTCACCAACCATACTTTTCTCTAGCACAAGCTCCACTCTTAATTTTTTTTTTGTCCTATCTCTAACTCTCATCTCTCTCTCTTTGATTTTTGCTCTGCCTCTTGCAGAGCGCGAGAATCAAATCCTGCACCTGTGATACAGTATCCCCACCACCCCAATCCCTTTACCAGTAGAGCCGCATGCGTATTGGCCACTCTTAATCTCACTCCCTCATACTTTGCATCTCTCTCTCTCTCTCTCTCTCTCCACCTGACCATTGTGCACCAGACCAGCTGCCTGACCTCGCGAGTGGACTTCCTGGGATGCGCCGGTCCGTCATCAGGACCGCGCATGATTTAATGACTGATATATGTGCATTTGATCGCGTATACATGCACCCGGTTCATGCCTACGTCTGGTTTCTATGTTTGGACTTTGTCGTGCAATAAAAAGTTCATAGACTTCCCACTTTCTTTTGAGCCCCCATAGCCTATACTTGCGTGATTGTCCTCTGTTCTTGCTTCCACTTGTTTATGAAAATTGTCATTTCATGGACTTGCTGATGCAAACCTTCCAAGCACTTACATAAATTGAGGAAGATAATGTAGCCCCAATGGAATAGCCTTCCTCCTTTCCTCCTTTATTCCTACGTTAATGGAGATAATGGAAGAGGAATGATACTCGATACTAATCAAACGAGCCCCTCAAAGCTAACGAATTAATTATATATCATTTTGTTGGAATCTCATTCCTTTTTACTGGGGTTTTGCTTGCTGTAATCCAATTCCCTTGATATCCTATCTGTGGAATTCATGCCTTGTTTCCATAGCTTTCAAATCAAACAAGCTCCTCAAAGCTAGGGAATTATATGCCACGATTCTGTCAGAATCCCATTCCTTGTTACTGGTTTTTGCTTGTTGTAATCCCGTGTCCTTGATAATCCTGTTCGGAGGTTAGACTTTATTCCAGAAAAGTGGGAATTCGATTCCGATCAATGGCAGTTCCATTTCGATCTCTTATTTTAGAGTGAACCAAACATGAGGGGAAGTTACAGCACACACGTCTTTTCTTCGCATAAATTCCACGGAAATTGTGCAGGAACGCGAATCTTTCAAGAGAAAAAATAATGAAGATGACAAGTGAAATTTTATATGGAAAACCCTTTCAAAATCAAAAAGCGATAACTCATTTGGAGCATATATATGCTTCAAATTCGGGTTTGTTGATTTATCAATAGATTGTGCTCAAACTTCGCCGCTATGACCCGGGTTTGTGTTTTTGTTGTTCTATAATATATGGTTATTATTATAACCAATTTACTTACTTCATGCATTTGTTGGTAAGATATCGAAGTAAAACAAGGGGAATGAGACATAGAAAATTTAGGAATGAAGTGGACTATTCATTCCCACCTTGAATGTACGATAGGGGCAAAATTCTATTGTCTCATGCCCAATAATACCGTTTTTCATTTTTTTTTGGTAACTTTCAATAAGTATTGGAAGTGTCAAAGATATTGTTGGTTGAAAAGACGGCCGGTTTTTTAAAATTACTAAACATTTATAAAATTATTAGCTATGTTTACAATTTGCAAATCGGTAATTTTGTTAGCTTACAAACTTTTATTTACACAACTTACTGACACTTTTAATTTACTAACTCTTAAATACAATTACCAAAATAAATTAGAGTGATCTACAACTTTTATTAAATTAAATTATTAACTAATTTTTTTAATATCAATTCTCATTTGAGTTACTTATTAAAACTTATATGTTTTTTTTCAATTTAACAATGTTTTTTTTCAATCGAATTATCAATTTTTATTTGTCTCAATTAGCAACTCTTTATATTTAGTTACTCTTTTTAGAGATTACTAACTTAATTTAGCTTTAGTCACCAACTTATCTCTCGTTAGATTACCATCTAGTTAATATTTTAAATATCGAACCGCACCTACCAATTCGACTGACTACCAGCTAGGTGATGGTCCGGTTCACACCTTTATACCATAGATGGTCAAAGCCGGTCAAGAACCAACCAAATAGGTCAAAACCAGCCTTGCCGATCAAACCACTTCAGTTTGAACCGGGTCGGACCAGTCCATTTTTTCAAATTGTTGAACTTCGTAACAAAAAAGTTGTGTTGTAGAGGGCATGGTTCGAACCTCTAACCTCTTCATTCATTCATTCATTTTACCAATCAAAACTAGGAGGAGCTTTTCCTCCATAAATGGCAAACAATTCATTTATCTTTCTCAAAGAAGATTTTAATTAGCACATGGTGAGATTCAACCCCATGACCTCGAAAATAATTGGACAGGACTGTACCAACTCAACTTTGGGGAAAGACTTGTAAGGCATGCACTATACATATCAATTATTTTTCAAGCTACCAAATTTTCCGATTAAACTGCATATGGTTCACCTTGCTTGTATGGCCTTCTGTATGGTTTTTAAAAACATTGCATCTAGTAATGGCATTATCAGCTTTCATTTGAGTTACTTCTCAACATTTATTTGGCCTTTTTTCTATTAATTTACTAATTATTTCTTGTCATTTAAAAACTTTTATTGTGTTTCTTAGAAACGCTTCAAATTTACCAACTTTTCGTTTAAGAAAAAACCAACTTCAATTTAAGAGACTCCTCAACTTTTTGCTGATTAGATTCCCTATTAATTTCAAGTTACCAACTAAGAGTTGAGTTACTTACCAAATTTATTTTTCTTTCAATTACCAACTATGATTATCTTTACCAACTTTTACTTACCTAACATGTAACAACACTGCCCCAGTTGTCGACAAGAACCACAACACTGCCCTCGAGTGTCGCCGGATCAAATTTCCGGCCTCACTTTTTGGAGAATCTATCATTGCTCCTTCGCCTCAAATTGCTTGAGGGAGAGAACATTCTCCGGTAACATCAAATGATTCACGCCTCTCTCTCTGTCGCCTCATTAAATATGGTCAACCTATTTTCAGTATTGTATAAATCTTGACCAATCATTAGCTCATCTATTAATACTCCTCGATTGGTGATTAATATGTTGATAAGGACGTTCTTAGCAGAGACGTTGCGTTAACGTCAACTCATAAAGTCATACATAACATGGTTGTCCTCTCTCGTAGTTGCACGCATGAAAATTTAATGATGTCACTATCGTAGGTTTATGTTGCTCGTAAATAATTAGGGTCCCGCTGTTGAGATTAGGGTACTGCGACAAGCTTGATTAGCTCGCAGCTCTCACAATTTGAAATCTCTCGCGTTGTGCTTTAATACAATTAACCCATCATTAAGGTTTACTTAATTAACCTACGTGGCAATAGCCAACCTTCACCTTGTGCTCTGATCAGATGAACTCGAATTGGAGCATGTGCGCAAGTTGTTGCAAAATGACAAGAAAATTATTGTATAGGACTACTGTTTAAGCTAGAAAAAATCCCATTGATCGACTAATGATTTAATTCCAAAAGACCCCGTCAAATTTTGTAAGCTGGCTTAGTAAATAATGTCCGACTAATTAGAAGCTTCGGTTTAACATGCAAACTAATTTTCAGGGGTTCTTTAAGTGTAAATATTATTAGTTCAACTCCGGTTTTTTGCGATTGCAAGATATCTAACGTGATCGCTTTCTTCTTACCGATTTCGTCGATAGATAATTATGTGTCATATAAGAATCAACAAATATATTCTTAAACTATAATTACCTTAACTCTCTAACCAAAAACTCTCATCCTGGTGACACGTGCCACACCCGATATGGAAGTATGCTGCTCGGAGCTATCTTTAACCATCTCGTTAAGATAAATTCCATTTCTTACGGCATATGCAAATGGTATAATCTTGTTCTAGAAGATTTCAATTTTTGATTATATATTGTGATTTGAAAACAAATTTGTCCTCATGTCATTGGCATTTGTCCACAACTTGCTGCCAGATCAATTGCTTGATTGGATAATATGCAGAAGCCATCAAATAAAAAATAGATGAGAGAGAGCGAGTGAAGTTGCCGTTAAGGCAAAATGCATCTCTTGTGAATTAATTTTAGTTTCACATATGTAATTCAAGAACGCTCTCTCTCTATTCAGTATGTAATTCGGCTCATTCATAACCTCTTCACCATCCTAGAAATTTATCAAGAGCCGCTCTTTATCTAAGCTCTTGCTCCGGCAATCACTCCTCGCCCTTATCAGACCTGGTCACCACAACCAATGAGGGTCCACAGCCCTCGATTGGAGTTGGTGAGGGGGGCGGGCGAGGGCCCTTGCTAAGTGGCGGCAGCGGCGATGTAGCTCACTGCCACCATTGAGGGTCAGCTAGCCCTCCCTGAGTAGTGGTGGCGATGCAGATCACCACTGTTAAGCGAGGGCACAAGTGCCTTGCCTGCTCCAGGCGAGGGCAACGGGCTCTCGGC